CGATTCACATGTGCACACAGGACGATTCACATGTGCACACAGGACGATTCACATGTGCACACAGGACGATTCACACGTGCACACAGGACGATTCACATGTGCACAGAGGATGATTCATACGTGCACACAGGATGATTCACACGTGCACACAGGAAGATTCACATGTGCACACAGGATGATTCACACGTGCACACAGGATGATTCACATGTGCACACAGGATGATTCATACGTGCACACAGGTAGATTCACATGTGCACACAGGTAGATTCACATGTGCACACAGGACGATTTACACGTGCACACAGGACGATTCACACGTGCACACAGGAAGATTCACATGTGCACACAGGACGATTCACATGTGCACACAGGACGATTCACATGTGCACACAGGACGATTCACACGTGCACACAGGACGATTCACATGTGCACACAGGACGATTCACACGTGCACACAGGACGATTCACACGTGTACAGGACATGAATCTTCCTGTGCACATGCGAATGGTCCTATGAATGAGTGAATTGTGTTGTTTGTATTTGTGATTACTGAAATGCTTCCTCCATAGCTCCATACAAAAAGACATTTTCTTCACTCACAGATTTCTTCACAGGAACAACTTGACGTAACAAAGGTGTCGGCTTCTTGGCTGACATCTCCACTGGTCTGAAATCAAACACATGAACCATGAACATACTGACTGGTTTATTCTCTGAGTGAGCAGCTGAGCTTCATTATCCAGACGATGAAGAAACACAGACCTGTTTTTGTTCAATCTTTTCTTCTTGCTGCCACGCTGACTCTTTTTGCTGCCATAAGCGACCTCGTTGTAAACTTTGGTTCCCACCTGATTCTGCAGCTTCATAATTTCCTCAAATGACATGTTGGACAGTTCTGAGCAAAGCAGAGGTCACAACAAATAGGTGTTCATTAGAAAATCCTTAAAATGTGTGTTTTTTTATTAGGTTCTTAGTGAAACGGTGAACAAAACAGAAGGTAACACAGAAGCATGTCTTTCACCCAATTTACACTACATGCAGCACAGCTGTAGTGTAAATTGGGTGCTACATGCAGCTGTGCTGGATTTCATGAACTACCTGGATTTACAATGTGTATGCTGCACTCAGCTGCGAAGCCCATAGGAGCTCTAAGAAGCATGCACAAGAAATGTGAGTTTGTGCATTAACCCTTCAAAGCCAAGGATGAACGTGAAAGTCAGACCAAAACTATTAATTCTGTGGAAAACTCGAACAACAATAGAAATAGCATCTCTGTTTTTTTGTTTGTTTGTTTGCATCTATATATAATTTTCAAAACTTTTTGTCTAGAATGGGTGAGTATAAGGAGTACAGAGAAGCTATATTTTTTGTACTTATTTTGGTGCACTTAATGTGTAATTGTTTAGTTTTGGATTACTTATATTAACGTTTATAGTCCAGTAATTGATCTAATGTATAAAATTATTGGTGCTGGGCAAAAATTTAAATTTTTTTTCGTGATTAATCTCAAGATATTTTTGCGATTAATCACGATTAATCTCTTTTTTTTTAGAAACGATCAGTCTACTATGACTGAATGTATATGTATTTATGTTACAATATATGTGTGACTCACTATGTACAGTTTTTTCTTTTCTTTTTCATTTTAACTTCTTATTGCTTATTGTATTTTTTCCTGACAACAGAGGCCTCATATCTTTCATTCCTCATTAGTCATTTGGAATTACAAAAAAAAAAATCTTGAATTCCTGATTTAATTCCATTTAGCTGCACAAAATTTAACTGACTCAAATAAGTTTAGAGCATTTTAGGAACTGTTTTATATGAAAAAGGGGCAACGCATTTTTAAACACTTTCAACAAATAAGCAAATCAAGCTGGTGTTACACTCGATTTTGTGACCGTCATATACTGTAAACCAGAGGGGGCGCTGTTGTGTTTCTACAACAGAACTTAGCTGAACATGGCCACAAAGAAGAATATGATACGCCAACAGTGTAAGCCAGAGGCTGAAGACACATAAAAAAAAACTGTTGACTGTTATACATGGTTACAGAATATGACAGCTTGTCCAGTGTTTCCCCTAGGAAATTGGTCTTGGCGGGGGTGCTACTTGTTTTATTAAAAACATAAAAACAGCCCAACAGTGGGCTAGGATTGGACATAATCGTATCGTGTGCAATTAATCGTCAGAAAAACATTAATCAATTGTTTTTTGCTCTTTACGATTAAATTAATGCCACCAGGTCTGTTTACTATGCGCTCCTTTCTGCTCCAAATATGACAAACATTAGAATAAAATATCATATAAATCAATATATGACAACAGTGTTTCCCCTACCATTATACAGGCGGAGTGCCCCCCGCCAACGAGACGGCCCGCCCCTCTAAGAATTTCACGACATGTAGTCATTTTTATTTAAATAAGGTCAGAGAAAGTCCAGAGCTATTTTTTGCATCCCTCCATATCCACCTCTCACCAGAGACACCTGGACAGGTCTCCAGTTCACCAGAGACACCTGGACAGGTCTCCAGTTCACCAGAGACACCTGGACAGGTCTCCAGTTCACCNGAAGTTAGGTTGGATGGATGATGGATGGATGGATGATGGATGGATGGATGGATGGATGATGGATGGATGGAAGTTAGGTTGGATGGATGATGGATGGATGGATGAATGGATGGATGATGGATGGATGGATGGATGGATGATGGATGGAAGTTAGGTTGGATGGATGATGGATGGATGGATGAATGGATGGATGGATGGATGATGGATGGATGGATGATGGATGGATGGAAGTTAGGATGGATGGATGGATGGATGGATGGATGGATGGATGGATGGATGGACGGATGGATGGTTTTTACTAGTGCTGGGCATAGATTAAATTCTGTAATGGGGATTAATCTGACGATATTTTTGAAATTAATCCTGATCTCAGTTAGTAGGTTTGTGTGTTGTATTTGTGTGTTGTTGTACAGTCAGTGTGTGACACACTATGAACAATGTTTTCTTTTGTTTGATTTTAACTTCTTATTGCTGATCTGTTTTGTTGCTGAGAACTGGGACCTCAGTATCTATCTTTCGTTCCTCATAATACTCATTTGGAATAACAAAAACAGTCTTTAATCTAACCTCATTATTCTGCACATTAACTAACTGCAGATGTTTAGAGCAATTATTAGATACTGTTTTATAATTAAAAAAAAGGAGCAATGAATTTTCAAAAACTTTAAACAAATAAGGCAAAGCAAAGTCTTACTTTCTTCTTTTTTCCTCCAACTAGTTTTGTCTGCAGAACCTGCCTCAGTTTGTTTATCCTGGTTTTAAACTGAAGTGGTGTTTCAGGCACAAACTGCTCTGCGTTGCTGCACTTAGATAACTTTAGTTCTTTCCAGTCCACTGTTGGGAAAAGTAGAAACAAATGTCCTGGAGGATCTGGTGACTTCAGCCATGTTCCTGCCCCAGCCTGCTCAGGTTCATGACAGTGGCTGTGAGTTACCGAGCCAGCGACTAGACAACAAAGGCTCTCACAGGATGAGAGACGTGAGAAGGAGATGAAGATCCCACGCCGTGACCACTGGGTATGTGCTGGTCTGTGTGTTCATAGCCAGCCCAGTAAACAGAGATCCAATGGAGGAAATATAAAGAAATAAATACCTGTGTTAAAAATGATCACCGTTAAGCAAGGTCTGCATTAATGTGTGTTAAAGTGCCCAGCACTAGTTTTTACACAACTAATGCTAAGGTTGACTGTTTTTATGTAGAAGGGTCATTGTGTGAGAACTGCAAAGACAAAATAAAAGTAAACTGCTCTTCTCCTTTGTTGTTAAAACATTTTACAAACAGATCCTCACCAATCTTTTCAGCAGGAGATGCAGCTTCTCCTTCTTTGGATTGTTCTTCTTCATCTTCATCAGTCTTTTCTGGACAATCTGCAGACAAACAACAGATTCTCAGATTTTACTGTTTACAGCTGAATACAGATTTAAAAACAGATTTTAGTTTCCTAACTTCTTTTTCCTTGTGTTTGATCTCATTGATGAACTTGTACGTCGTCTCAAAGATTTCTGGTTTGTATTCCCCTGACAGGTCGTCRAATCGAGGATCTCTCATCGTCTGCGACAAAAACAAAACAAAAAAACACGTGTCCAGGTCAAAACCAAAGGTTCATTTTTAAAGTGTGTAAACAAAGAAATGGAGCTAAGAGCCTTAATCACAATCACACACAGGACGATTCACACGTTCACAGGACGATTCACACGTTCACAGGATGATTCACACGTTCACAGGATGATTCACACGTTCACAGGATGATTCACACGTTCACAGGATAATTCACACGTTCACAGGACAATTCACACGTTCACAGGACAATTCACACGTTCACAGGACGATTCACATGTGCACACAGGACGATTCACACGTTCACAGGACAATTCATACGTTCACAGGATGATTCACACGTTCACAGGACGATTCACACATTCACAGGACAATTCACACGTTCACAGGACGATTCACATGTGCACACAGGAAGATTCACACGTTCACAGGACAATTCACACATTCACAGGACAATTCACACGTTCACAGGACGATTCACATGTGCACACAGGAAGATTCACACGTTCACAGGACAATTCACACATTCACAGGACAATTCACACGTTCACAGGACAATTCACATGTGCACAGGGCGATTCACATGTTCACACAGGAAGATTTACATGTGCTCACAGGACAATTCACACGTGCACACACAGGAAGATTCACACATGCACACACAGGAAGATTCACACATGCACACACAGGAAGATTCACA